GCAAGAGTGTCTCCTGAAGAACTTGTCATGGGAACTGAAGTGGAGAGAGGGTCCAGATGACTCCCAAGTGTCTGGTGACTAAAATTTAATATAGGCTGTTGCACTTGTCTTTGGAAGATTCAAATTGAGACTGATTTATTTATTCATTTATTAAAATGATTTTTGAGATTCTACTAGTTATCAGACACTATGATAGGTGTTATAAGAGATAGAGAAATAAAATATAAACCCCAATCTCAACAAAATTTATAACTTAGTAGAAGAATGACATTATGCATGCAAATAAGTAATAAGTAAAAGCAATACTGTCTTAACATGGCACATGGAGGCTTTCAGAGGATAGATCACATCAATTTGGGGGATGACTATGTTAGATGGGTATGGTGAAATTTGGATAACTTAGAAAAAGGCAACAGCATTCGCCAAGGCATAATCACAAAATGCAAGTGAGCAAAGAATTCAGGCAAAAATATTTACCTAATTTAGAATGCATTAATTAGCCTGTAAGAGTTATAAATGCACTAGTATATGACTGCCTACTTTTCTCCAATATCATTTCGTGGTTGCTAGTTAATTTCCTTACAGTGAAAGATAATTCACCATAAATACAAAGTTCCAACATAAGTTAGTGCTGCTATGAAGACCCATCTAAACAAACGTGAAAGCCTGGTGGATTTAGAGTAAGTGCTTTCAACCTAATTTCAGGCCTTGCAGGTCACTATTAAAAAGACAGTAGTTTAATAGATACTTAGATGTACTTAATAAATCCTTTGTGAGATTAACAATCATAAAATGCCAAGTTAATCATCCTATTCATGTAATTTTAGCATCTCATTGTATTAAAATACCTGATACAATCTTATTGGCTATGTAGTCCATTTGCCAGACAAAAAAAAAGAAAAGTCTAGTGAGTCAATAGGAGTTCATAAATTACCCATTTCCTTTCTATTAAGGCTTTAAAGATAAGCACGCTTTTCATTTCAGAATCTTGCTTTTCAAAGATAACATTTATTGAGTTTTCATGATGAACCCTCACTCTCCTAACCATTCTGAGAAGAATTAAAAAAAAATAAGAGTCATCCTGCACCTTGACATCTATTTGGCAAAATAATGTATGGATAGTCAAATTACTGAGAACATTCAGAAAGTAACACATAATAAAGATAAATTAGGTGATGCCAACATTATTCTGTGCTGAGTAACTAGAATAAAAGAATATGAGATATCCTTAATCATTCTGGTTACAGGTAAATTTTCAGTAATTTTTTAATGAATGTAATAGTTACACACTCATTGGCAGAGAAAAGATCTCCTTCCAGCTAAGGAGATGTGGAGTCAGGAATGAGCAAGTCAAATGTGGAAGGAGAAGATAATTTGGCAAAGGTTTGTAATATTGATGAGGAATGAGAAAAGACCTTACTGAAAAGAGACTGGAAAGAATAATAATATTTATGAAATAGTTTTTTCATTAAGCTCTTCCTGTAAGAAGGTTTTACATCACCACTAGCAAAACTTTAAAAAGACTTTAAATTCATACATTTGTAATACTAGTTATTCAGTCCTTTTAGTTAATGTACACATTTTATGTTTTGACTAAAGTTTAGGAAGGAGTTAATATTAGACACTTGAAGAAACCTTTGTGGGCCGAAACCGGTTTGGCTCAGTGGATAGAGCGTCGGCCTGCGGACTGAAGGGTCCCAGGTTCGATTCCGGTCAAGGGCATGTACCTGGGTTGTGTGCACTTCCCCAGTGGGGGATGTGCAGGAGGCAGCTGGTCGATGTTTCTCTCTCGTCGATGTTTCTAACTCTCTATCTCTGTCTCTCTCCTTTCCTCTCTGTGGAAAATCAATAAAATATATTTAAAAAAAAAGAGAAACCTTTGTGGTTCAACACTACCATAATAATCAACAAAGCATGTTTTAGATGGAATTGAAGATGTACCAAGTGGACGTTTTATTTTACACTGAGAACTATTAAGTCACTTTTATTGAACATTAACTTCAATATTATAAAAGAATTGACCTAACAAAGTAACTGGATATTTTTTTAAAGAGGAAAAATCCAATATTCCTTTAATATGGTAAGTCCAAGTTACTGGGAAAATGGAAAACTGAGAAGCTAGGAAGAGAGGGACATGTGAATGTAATTTAAAAGATTAGACAAAATCCTATATAATAAAGCAGTAATATGCAAATTGACTGTCACACCCTTGTACAAGATGGTCGCCCCCATGTGGTCAAAGATGGCAACCACAAGATGGCAGGCAGGAGAGGGCAGTTAGGGGCAACCAGGCCCGCAGGGGAGGGCAGTTGGGGGTGACCGGGCTGGAAGGGGAGGGCAGTTGGGGGTGACCGAGCTGGCAAGGGAGCAGTTAGGCATTGATCAGACTGGCAGGGGAGGGGTTAGGGGGTGATCAGGATGGCAGGCAGAAGTGGTTAGGGGCAATAAGGCAGGCACACAGACGAGTGGTTGGGAGCCAGAAGTCCCGGATTGTGAGAGGGATGTCCAACTGCCAGTTTAGGTTCGATCCCTGTGGGCCTAAACTGGCAGTCGGACATTCCCCAAGGGGTCCCAGATTAGAGAGGGTGCAGGTTGGGCTAAAGGACACCCCCTCACCCCCCACCCCCAGTGCACGAATTTCATGCACCAGGCCTCTAGTACATTATATAACATTCAAGAAAAAAAATTCTTTTAGTGCCAAATATGGGATATTGCTTTATTTCAGGTCTTATTTTTCAGTTTGATATTGTAGAATTAACAAAACCATTAATTATGCTCTTTTTAGAGACATCAGCCCCAAGACCTTTCAGGAAATGGTAGTGTCATTTTGTTCTGAATGCAGGACTAGGAGGGTTTTGAGAGGTGAAAATTAAGAGTTCTGCTTTGGACATGTCAGTACTTCCCAGTAGGATATATGCATTTCATTTCAGGGATAACTGTTAAGATATTATGATAATGAGATATTTACCACTTGATCTATCTAATATTTCTTTTTTATAACCACTCAGCTAGGTACTCCAAAAAGTGAAGCGGCTGCTTTTTCCTCTTTATCTGATGCTGATCTGGGATCCAGGGTGGTTTCCCCTTCAGCTGGGCACTCAGGCTGCTTTGCACCTCCATTGAGTGTCAAGGCAACAGTGACAATCCAGGCCTCTCCCACAGCCCATGCCCCTGTGTATAGCTCATTTCCGACATTTGTGAGAGATAACTCCCAGAATCATGACAAACCCACAAATTTGAAAATACCTCAATACTTTCTTTCTAAAACTTCGTTCCTATTGGAAGCTGATTAATATCTTATCATTCTTTCAGAAAAGTGTTCCCTGATAATTGGGGAAATGTAAACACTCCAAAACTCCCAGTGGAATCTCCTAATGCACTGATAAGTAAAGATTCACAGAGAGCCCTAACTGGTTTGGCTCGATGGGTAGAGTGTTGGCCTGAGGACTGAAAGGTCGCAGGTTTGATTCCAGTCAAAACCATGTACCTTGGTTGTGGGCACACCCCCAGTAGGAGGTGTGCAGGAGGCAGCTGATCGATGTTTCTCTCTCATCGATGTTTCTAACTTTCTATCCCTCTCCCTTCCTCTCTGTAAAAGCCATGCCTTTAGGAAAGAAACCAAAATGAACTGAGTCCTGAGTCACTAGAAGAAGCCAGAAATGGGAAGATCCTTAAAATTCTCTTTGCAAGTGCAAATTCTTGAGTTCAAAAAGGCTTTGTGCATTTCAGAACAGAGAAAGGGCTTGTGGGGATCATGAAGAGGGAGAGGAGGGAGGAGATGATTTCAGGTGGTGTGCAGAAGTCAGATCCCGTAGGGCTCTGTAGGTCATGTGAGCAACTAGGATGAGAAGA